CTACTTAGTAATCTGAGGGCTTGTTGTACTTGTAGATACACCCTTTCAGTGTAAGAAATGATATCTTCATATTCTTTTTCATAATGGTACTTTGATCATTGATGTGATTAACAACATGAAAGAAAATAATTGAAAATGAAGCATGTGTCCAGTTTTCGTTCCATGGATTGACCACTTCTTGGGATTTGTCTTTTTTGTATTTTTCGTTGTTTGCTGCAATGTTGCAAATTTAAATTTTCGTATGCAAGGCACAAATGGTATGTGGGTACTGGGTATATGGAGGATATATCAATGGAGATAGACTTTGCAGTAAGCTACTATTGAATTTTGGTCATTTTACTATATTTTGATTTTCTTTTGCAGTTAGCAAATATTATGGGTCATTTTCAGTGGCTTACATGTCCTAGAAAGGTAACTTACTGATGCTCTAAATAATTTTCGGTTTGCTACAAGCTGGATGATGCTTTTTCTTTCCTTTCTAATGGTGGATAACTCTAGGACTTGTCAACCGGATGGCTGCACTGTGATCCTGGCCCATTGTTTAAGCCAGAATATTTTTCACTACCTGCATTGATGCATCAATGGGTAAAACTCAAACTAGAATATGTGTCTTTCTACGAACTAGCAAATTTCATTTCATTTAGTTTTCAATGTAAAAAAAAGAATCATCTTTTTATGGTCGTATCTATTTGTATCTTGCTGCTTTCTTTGCTGTTGGCCCATGCAAGTTCTCTGCCTTGTATTAAGTTAAAGTTACTCATATTTGTTCAACAGTTCATGAATGTTGGTATAAATTTTTCAATGAGATGATGAAAATCTAACAAAGAACAAGTTCACTTATTATTGTAAACAAAATATGCCCAGTTACATCTCTCATGATGACTATTCAATTGCATGATTTATATGTTCTCTCCAAACTAAACTACTTGGTTGATTTACTAGCTAAGAAGAATTAATCAGCAAGTTTAGGAATTACATATGACTTTTAATCATCTTTGAAATTCCTTTTCAGTATCTAAGAGAATCATAATGCCATGGTTTAATCACTGTTGTGATACAGTATGCGTTCCAAATTTCAACCTAATTGATAGCACTCTGTTGGTTTCTATCTTCATATGACTTTCTTCCTCTAAGTAATATATACTTTCTGTTGAGATTTCTCAATTTACATTCAACTTTTCTTTCCTTCCTGTAGTTTCCTTGGAAAGAAGTGGCAATTTTGCCTGTACAATGTCATGCTTTAGCTTTTGGTCTATTTGCATCGATAATAGCACCATTTGGAGGATTCTTCGCAAGTGGCTTTAAAAGGGCCTTCAAACTTAAGGTGATACACAGTTTAGAGCAAGTGTTGAAAAACTGGCAGACTCATTAGGCAATATAAATGTTTTCCAAACATTTCTAGGACTTCGGCGACAGCATTCCTGGACATGGTGGTATTACTGACAGAATGGACTGCCAAGTAAGTTGCTGGTCTTTGAAATATTTATTGAACTCTTCTGCCTTACCCCGACAAGTAAACCAGTGGTTGGGTAGCTGCATTGCAAGAGAACTACATCCCCCTCTCAGACATATCATTTGTGTTATATTTACATCCAAGCCAGTCTAACTAATTTATAGGTTGACCAATCAGCTTAGATGGTCATGTTTTTATACAACTGTGGTATTGCAATTTTTTTTTTCAAATAATGCATTGCGAAAGTCTGATTTGAGGATACCCGTCACCAGATACAAACTTCTGAATTCTTACATCATGAGGCATAATCTAGCCCCCAACTGCATGAATCAACTAAGCTTACCCAATTCTGAGTACTTAATATGCGAGAAGCGATTTTTGTGGAAGTTATTTGTTAATATTGAAGTAAATTTTCATTTTGTTTGAGGTTCCACCGATGCGTCATACTTGTCATTGTTCTGCACATTTGCTTCGTGATCATCATCTAGTCATTAGAGTATATTATAGTTAAAGCTTTTAAGTAATCTACTGGGTTCACCTGGTAATTTTACTCAATTTATTTCACACTAAACATCTAAGTGGTCTGTTCAACATTATCACTAAAACCAGTTTATTCTTTTTAACATTGAGAACCATTAGTCTGACATTTTTGATTACTTGTTTTATTTAAATATTTAGACAAGCTATAAGGGTTAGTTCTGTTTATGTGAAGTAAATGACTTCAGGATCTGAGATCCTTGCTTTTTCGCCATCTTAATGTCCCACCCCCTGACCAGCAATAGTGTCTTGGAGAGGTATTAATTGTGTTAATCTTAAACAACTTGTAATGTTGTTCATCTGTAATATTTTTTTAGTTTTTTATTGGTCATCTAAGATGGTATTAGTGGCTTTTATTAGTTGTAGGTCTCCTATATGCTCTAACCTCAAGATTCTTTTGATTGCTGCTATAGGAAGCAGTGTTTGCCGTACCGAAGCATACCGGCCGTACCGGGCGGTACGTACCGGTCCGCCAGGTACTCGGTACATGGATCACCCTATACCGCTACAGTGCTACAGTACTACACTGTAACACTGCTACAGTATCGGTACACCAGGGTGTACCGCCCGGTACACCGGTACCGTACCGTACCGAGCCCGGGTTGAAACTCCGGTACGGTACGGTATGACGGACCTTGATAGGAAGTAAACATGAAATATTGAGCCAGTTGAAAAATGCAGGAGCGAACAGGGATTTTATGACATACAGTTTCATTTCATGCTTTAAGTGCTGCAAAAAAGAAGAATGATATACTTGAAAAGCTCATGTAGTAAGAAGCCACAACCTGTGGCTTGAACCGTTAGCATGACCTATTAAAAAAGCTCATGCTATGCTTAAAATGCTACACTTAAAAAGCTCATGCTATACTTCCTGTTTAGCATGTCCTGCCTCCAATCTTGAGGCTTTCATATAGTGTGGACTGTGGAGAAGGTATGCTTCGGATATGGCAAAGCCCTTATGGGATTTTGCTGATCCTTTTCTTAATAGTTATTTGAGAGAACTGACATTTTGCGGAAACAGATGTTTAATCTTTCTAATATCTTGTTTGGTTTGTAAATTCAAAAGATGTATTATGATATGATGAAAAGATCTTGTTAAATCCGAATTGCAATTAAAGAGGTAAATATACTTAAGAAACTCACCTCTTTTGAACTTGCCTTCCTTGTTTTATGTTGCCTTCTACTTGGTCTCCTTTTGAAACTTGAAACAAAATGACAACCATGGTCTAGAAGCGATGGTTCTTCAAGGGCATCATGGTTGATTTTTCACATCAAGTTGTTGCCCATCTTTGTAATTACCATAGGTTCTGATAGTTCTTTCTTGTAGAGAACTGATTTGTTATTTCAGTTTGTATATCTGGTTGTAAACTTGTTTCCTAGATGCATTGTGTTGCAGATGGTTATGGCTGTGTTTGCATACATATACCATCAATCATTTGTCATGCCTCCGAGTTTCTCAGTTGAGATGTTCTTGGACCAGGTATCGTGGTTCCATACATTCCTTTACTTGTTTTACTTCCTGGTGTTCTATTGAGAACTTTTTGAACATTGTGCAGATATTAAGGAACCTTACCATTGAGGAGCAGCAGCTTCTATACGAGCAACTCGGGAATTTTTTTCAAGCAAGGCAATTGTTGCAAGCCTAGTTCCTTCTCTAATTAGCAACCGGCTTTATGTACATTATCGTTTTCATTGTTCACTCTCCAAATGGGTCTTAGAGTCAAGCATAGCCCTTTAAACTGCATCTCAATATTCTTTCTGCTTGGAAGCTCTATGTAGTGTTGAACTTCCCACACACCTCTGCAAAGTGCTCTCTCTCTTCCTTTTTGTCTAAGTACCACATCATTTAGTAGCTGATCTACACTCTAGGATTCCAAAAGATTTCATATACTTGGCATATTTCTCAGGCTGAAGGCTTTCAAACTGCTTTGAAATGGTATTATCTCATGTTAGCTTGCCCTAGTCCAGCATACTGGAAACCTTGCCCAGTGTGGTTCATTTGCCCATGTAACAACATTTTATCTTGCATATATGCTTCCATATTACAGAAAGGTCATGTTGTTCGTTTGATTTTAAGTTAGGGAAAGTCCAAGTACAGAAGGTCATTAGTCTGAAGCCTTTGATATGGCTTCAAGGAGGATAAAGAATGAATGCTAAAATTTCAGTGATGTACCTATCATCTTTTCTTTCCTGCAGATTACATTTGGATGTACACAATCCTGTCTTCTTTTTTCTCTCTTGTCAAGGATGTGAACACCCAAGGCAATTAATAGGGTGGCATGTAATGTGTGGCTTTAGTCTGCTTTTGCCCTGTAATAACTTTCCCTGTGCTCAAGTGTACAATTTGAATCATTAAAATGTCATGTTTATGAAATGAGTGTTTCTTTGTCCTCCTTCAATCAGATGGTCGAATGTTGTTTGATTTGCTTGATGGCTAACATCTTTCTTTTAAGACCTTTCTTGTTGTTTTAACTTTTTTTTTGTTCCTTTTTTTTTTTTTGGGTTCAAGTTAGTGTCAAAGTTTAGTGTAAAATCTTTAATCTACCAAAAAAAAAAAAAGAAAATAAACCTTAACATGAAAGTCAAAATGATTTCTTTTGTCTGACAAACTCACTTGATTTAATTTATATCATATACTAATAGTGAACAGCTGTATATGAGGAGAGAGAAAGAAATTTTTAATTTTTTAATATAAATTATAAATAAAATTCAAATATTAAAATTTAATTAAATATATAATTTTTATGGATTTGATGAAATATAGTTGACTTTAAATAATTCTGATTTGATGATTATATTGATTAATAAGGTTGCTAATAATTAAATTATTAATTAATAAAAAATATAAAAAAACTAATTAATTAAATGATTGTACTTCCATTAATAATTTACGTTTTGTTTCAATTCAATATAGTATAAATATATTTATTTTGATTTCACGCGTTTTTGGCCTTTTCCATTGAGTTCAACTTAGATTCAACGGTCAAAACCCGTCAATGGATTAGATTTAGGGTAGAAAGAAGGCACGATTGAGGGCACTCGAGAAGTGCACTTAACGAGTCGCTCGCTCGTAAGCTGAACCCTCAACCAATCGCCTCCGGAACTGGGCGGAGAGAGAGAGAGAGAGGTGGGGGGCCGCCGGCAATGGAACGGAGCGGCACCGTCCTCCAGTCCGCTCCCCAGACCGCTCGCCCTCCTTCCATCCCCTGTTGGCCCCTCTTCCCTCGCTCCCACAACCCCCCTCGATCGACTGGTTGCGGCGTTGCAAGGCTTCGACATGGGAGGTGTACTCCATGGGTCGCCGAGCAGTTGAGGTTCGTTTCGAAGAAGAATTCCTGCTCTTCTTTGTTTACGATTGGCTTGAGTTTTAGTTGATTTTGTTTCCGGATTCGTGGTTTGCCGAAAGTTTGTTTCTTTTGGTTGCTTCTGTTTTCATGGGCTATTTTTGTTGAGGATAAAAGAAACATAGATCAAGTAGAAGCGTTCGAATGGTTTGCCATTTACCGTGCACAATTGAAGTGGTGGAGGAGAAAACTCACATTTGTACCTTCTTGGTTATCCCTCCGTTCGGTCCACGTCCTTATTTTCCGACGTCCCTTTTGATTTAATTGCTCGCTCTTCGTTATTTTCAGTTGGCTTGAGTGTTGTTTTTGTGGTCGCAGATTCATGATTTGGCCAAAGGCCATTTCTTTTTGGTAGGTTCTGCTTCCCTGGACCTTTTTTTGTTGATGATGAGGCCCAATGAGATATGATGATAAAGCACGATCATTAGAAGCACCATAGGTGGTTTTGATTTACTGTTGGTAATGAAACAAGAGAAAAGATGCAAAGTATCTTCCTCATATGTCAAGAAATGACATTTTGTTGCGTGGTTTTTGGTAATATATGTAACTTAAACAACCTGTTATAGATTCTCAAGAGCATGCCTTTCTATTCTGGGCTAGAATTGATACAGAGATGGTCCATTGTACAGATTGAGTTGAAAGAATCTAGTTGATTTAAACAGTTATTATTGGGTTCTGCTCTCTCTTGCTTGATCTTAATACTGAATAAACAAATTATAGATGTTCAATGTCAATAAGAGCCTGGTACGTGTTAACGAAATGTTGACTGGAATACACCCAACTGGCTAGCGTGGTGGTAGTGTACCCAGGTTCCTTACCTTACATCAGGGTTTCGAATCCTCGCTGTGGTGCCTTGTCTACCCAGCTCCTTGTCCTCTGTGGTAGTGTATCTTCCCGATGTGGGGTCTAATGCCTCTAGTTATGCCTACAAAAACAAAAAAAATTAAGAATTTCTGCATTTGTATTTTAAATCTCTATGACCTTGTTTTGCAGGTATTGTTGTTGTTTGAATAAAAAGAGGTACTTGCTGGTGCATAAGGTTGTACAACATTCTATGGCAAGAGTTTTTAGCTCAGGTGGACCACAGGAAACAAATTTAGGTAGTGAAGAAATGAAGAAAGATAAGTTTCTTATTGATTGTGGATCAGATCAAGAATGTGTGCTTGGTAGGTAAATTCCGACATTCGTATTTCTTATGTCTACTATTTTAGACAAATTTATCATCTGTGCATATATGAGAGGATATGAGACTTCACAGTATTGTATCCGTTCTTTTGTGATCCTTATTTAATTGGAGACTTATGTTATGTTTCACTTTACATGATATGATGAAGTAATATTTTTCACATCTGTTATACTTATTTATTTATGTATATTATGGTATTTAGCTTCTATTATCTGAGCTTGAATATGTGATGAATTGTTAAGTAACAAGGCATGTAAACTTCATAATCCATCGCCCGGTCAGTTGCCATATGAGACATGCCTTTTTCAATGAATTATTCCAGGATATGGCAAAATATCCTAGGATCATATGACTTGCATAGCAAGGCAGGGTGCTTTACTATGGTGCAGATAAGAATTTTCTTTAAACATAATATCATTTAGATTTGTCTTGATTCTCTAAGAATTTCTTGACTTGCTAAGAAATTCTTAAATCTCTTTTAAGGGCTTCAACTTTCCACTGATATGCTTCACTAGGTGACTTTCTTGGGCTCTCCACTATATGCAATCCTAGATCTAACTTTGATATATTCTTTTTAATTAGTATTTGTTCAACAAATGGCATTCATCATTTGCACTTTATGTGGGCTTCAGTACCCCGATATTTGAAAATCCATGTTTAACATGCAGTCTCAATTCTGTAGCATCTGAATAGTGCAATTTCTTCTTTCTTTATTCTTTAAATTAGCCATTTTCTTGCCGATGTATATTCTTTATTTGCCTTCAAGAAGTGCAGTTAGCATATATTGGACATTTCTTTTAGTTTCTTTGTATTGTTTTGTAGGAGGTATAGTGGCCTTAGGCAAGTTTGACGCTCTTCATACTGGTCACCGCGAACTTGTCATACAAGCATCAAAAGCTGGGAGTCCTTTCCTCCTTTCTTTTGTTGGAATTGCCGAAGTACTTGGTTGGGAATCAAGGTGCACAGCATTGCATGCTAATATTTGAAATGTTTATTACAGTGCTTTTCTTCTCTTGGCTTATGTACTTGTAGTCCTTTTTGATGACTGTGAACTCTGGAAAGTGTTCTTTTCATTTCCTAAGTTGTTCTGCAGAATGACTTGTATTCTTAATATTTTTATTTTCTAGAAGATTATATTCTTAATAATTTTAAAAAAGAATTGCAACAAATTTTACTCTAATAATAAAACCAACTATCAGTTTGGTGCATCCTGGTAATTGAATCCAATGATTTATATCTATATCTGTATCTGTTACCAATTTCAGGAACTGGTTAGATGGTACACCGGGTAAATTTTGACTTTTATTGCCTGATATGGAAAAAAAGTAAATACCTATTTGTACTGACCTGTATCTTGGTCAAACCACTATATACCAGTCAGTATGTTCCTATTCGACTGGTGTTTGAGACTCTGCTGAAATATAATTCGTAGCACAAGTTGTTGCAATCTTATATATCCTAGAATTGTTTGAAACCTGGGTACATACTCTGATCTAGAAATCCATATATTGCTTTTTGTAGCATGTGTGATCTGGTCAATGATTAGCAGTAATTCAAACTTCAGGGCCTCAAGGATTAGGTCCATGAATTTTTTTTTCTGTGAGATGCCATTCTTTTTATGCATGTTTGACTCAAAACTACACTAGAATGTTGGAACTGGAGCTTCTAGGCATCTTAATTTTTAATAAAAAGGCTGGAGTTAATATCATCACCTTTAGGACTTGCTTGAGTTGTAAATCTATATTGACTAAAACCATGAGTTGAGCAACTATTCTTGGGATTGGATAACATAACGTTTTCATTCCTTCATCTCTTTTATTATGTGTTCTCAGATATCCAAAAGTTAGCATGGTCTGGTCCTTTGTTAGACTGAGCTTAGCTTTTGCCCTTGACTACAAGTATTATTTTCAGTTCCCAATTTACTTGGTGCTTAAACTTTAGTTCTCTGTCTTGGCTTGCTATTGGGATCTGCAGCATAGCTGATGCACAACAGGATTTGTCGCATTGCAGTTACTTGTAAGGCAAACAACACAAGAATGAACTTGACCACCATCAGAGTAGCTGGATGGTCTGTATCCAAAGGTGTTTTCCTATAGATCAGGGGTCTGATCCCTTAGTAAAACACATTATCTGGATATCTCTCCTATGAGTGTTTTGTAACATGCACACACATATATGTATGTCTACAAAAGGAGCAAAAAGAAAAAAAAATGAGTCTGCTCGGAAATCTGTTAATTTTAGATGTCTGCAACATGTTTTGAAGTTTTCTTGCGTCTGCTTTTTCCCTGCCTCTGTGTCGGGCTTGATTTTTCATTCACTCCCTCTTCCTTTGAGAAACCTATTACCTATTGTCCACATTAAGCTTAAGATGGATGATGACTTGTCATGTTCACACATTCATAAATGACTGTTGTGGTTCGTGAAGATCCCAGTTGGCCGCTTTATGCTGCATTTCTTGGTGTGTAAAGCTTACCATGTATTTGCTCATAATATCTTAAATGCTCTGTGTGCCCAAAATCCAAGTGTGTGACAAGTAAATTGAACCCAATAATAACTGCGCTGTTAAAAGTGGAAAAGTAAGCAGAAAAAATGAAGTGTAGAATAGCCTTATAATAGTTACAATCATGCAGCTCATGAGGTATTCCGATGGCTTCTCTCCAGCCTCCTGTCAGTGGGTTTCATTCATTTGCTTCTAAATGATGCCAGTTTCATTCATTTGCTTCTAAATGATATTTTATCTGAACTTGCTAGTTGTTTGCATTCTATTGATAAGTTACTTGCATGCTTGAAGCTACTTTGTCTTGGCTTTAGGAATTATAAGCTGTCTCAACTTTCTGCACAGGCCTCCTATAGTTGCACAATGTGACAGGAAGCGTGTACTCGCTTCCTGGGCTCCGTACTGTGGTAATGAAGTTCCCTTGGAATACCAGGTTCAATTTTCAATTGTCAGGCATCTTACCCCACGGCAATTTGTTGAAAAGTTATCTAAGGAGCTAAAAGTAAGTGGAGTAGTTGCAGGTATAGCATAACCACTTTTTGGATTTAAGGCTTGTCCACAATTACAGAATGATATAGTGATAATTTTGTTCATCGTTGCAGGTCAGAATTACAGATTTGGATACAAGGCATCTGGTGATGCATCAGAGTTGGTGAGACTCTGCAAAGAATATGGTTTGGCTGCATTTATTGTAAGCCCCGTTATGGACAAGAACCAAAGATCCTATAACGGTGCTTATAGAAGCATCAATTCAAGTGACAAAGGTCAGGTATCATCTACACGTGTTCGGCATGCTCTTGCTATGGGCGATGTGGATTATGTGGTGGAACTTCTTGGTAGAAAGCACCGGCTCGTGCTGTCTTTGGATAAACAGTTTTGCTCACAGAAACGGATTTTGGTTCCCAGGTCATGCATGTTGAACCAGCCACCAAAGGATGGTGCATACTACAATTGCACCATTCTTGTGGATGATAAGCTTATTGGACCTGCGAGTGTGGTCATTGATACTGACAACATCAATATAGAGTTGGATGATGAGAGCTTGGAAGCACAAGATATCACCCTGGATCATCAGTTCATTGGTATAGAATTCGGATAGCTGATGCTCCTGTGGGACTTGAATGATCCTTGTAGATCTCCAAGACATTGTGTTCTTTTCATTTGACCAACAAATGTGGACCCTATACAGCTCGTCCTACAATCAGCACCATAGTTCTGGATGGTGATTCATCGAGTAAACAAACAAGTTCTAGTTTGATGTGTTCATGGTCCGGGAGAAAAAAATGAATGTAGCGGTGGATGCTTCATATTTTTATTTCTCTTTTAAGCAATGGAAGTGTCAAAAAATTTTCTCTAGGACGAGAAAATTTGAGCCAACATAATGCTAGATTGTAATCCTCTTTCGTATCTTGCTTTAGCTATTTAAGTAGATGTGATACTGCTCTGTTGTCTTCCATATGTATCCATATGCACCTTAAGGACTTTTTGAGTCGAGTCAACAACATTTGTTGTCAAGCGAAGATTATTGATGAGGATATTATATGTGTTTTTCTAAAACAAAAATTAATTAGGTATACAAGTAATATAGGATTAAGAGATTATGTTGACACTTTTAGTTAAATATACTATATATCGATCAAAATATTTTGAACTGTGATGAATGAACAAAGAAGATGAGTTATTAAGCTAAAAGATGATAAGCTCACAGTCTCTTTTGATCCCAATATCTTTAAAGCTTTCCTTGAATAACTCACATAAAGCATAAATAAGAAGGAAAACCTGAGACAAATTTATATTCAACATGAATCCCTGTACCAATCAAACCATTACATTCAACATAGTAATAAAAGGCAAGTGTCTATATGTCTCCTCATATTTATGTTAAATCATAAAATCATTTATAGACAAAAGCAGGAGAAACTGATGACTCTATGTTACTGAAAAATAGGAGTATATATATATATGTTATATTAAAATATCTAATATTAAATATGTTTCCGATCCATTCACACGTAAACCCCCCAAAAAATATCTATGCAAAAGTGAATTTTTTTGGCGGCAATATCACCAACTCACTTACTCTTCTTCTTGGCCACACAGACTCGATCCCCAAATCCAGAAACAAGCATCTCTATGTCACTATGTCTTCACGCTCTTCCTCCCGACCATGCCTTCCTCCCTCTCTTCCGCCCTTCCACCACCGCCGTTACCGCTGCCTCCCCTCTCCGACCTCCGTCCTCCTGCCGCTAACGCCACCGCCTCCTCCGTCTCATGGAACGCCCTCATTCGCGCCTGCGCCCGATCCCCCGACCGCAAGCACCTCGCCCTCGTGCTCTACCGCCGCATGCTCCCCACCGCTCGCCCGGACAACTTCACATTCCCCGCCGTCCTTACCGCCTGCGCCTTCCTCTCCGCCCTCCCCGAGGGTTTCCAGATCCACGCACAGCTCCTCAAGCTCGGCTTCGGCGGCAACCTCTACGCCCTCAATAGCCTTATCCACTTTTACGCCTCCTGTGGCCACATGCCCCTCGCCCGCAAGCTGTTCGACGGGATGTCATCTCGGTCGCGGGTCTCCTGGAACGTGGCCATCGACGGGCATGTCGGAAATGGGGAGTACGACGCGGCGCTCGCGCTGTTCAGGGCCATGCAGCACGAGTTCTCGCCCGACGAGTATACAATCCAGAGCGTGATCGGAGCCTGCGGGGCCGTCGCGGCTCTGTCGCTGGGGATGTGGGCTCACGCGTTGGTGCTGAGGAAGTTTGACAGAATGGTCGCCGATGACGTCTTGATTAACAATTCGCTGATCGATTTGTACGCGAAATGCGGCTCGATTGCGATGGCTAGACAAGTGTTCGAGCGAATGCCTGCCCGGGACCTGGCCTCCTGGAACGCAATGATCTTGGGCTTCGCGATGCATGGACGCGACGAGGAGTGCTTCGATACCTTTGCTAGGTTGGCCAGCGAGAAGAAATTTAGGCCGAACTCGATCACGTTCGTCGGCGTCTTGAGCGCGTGCAATCACGGCGGGCTGGTCAACGATGGGCGGAGGTATTTCGACTCGATGATCCGCGAGTTCGGGATCGAGCCTCGGATCGAACACTACGGCTGCATGGTTGATCTTATCGCTCGGGCAGGACGCATAGGCGAGGCTCTGGACCTCGTCTCGAGCATGACTTGCAAGCCCGACGCAGTGATTTGGAGGAGTCTTCTCGACGCCTGCTGCAAGCAGAATGCAGGAGTAGAAGTCAGTGAATCAGTGGCGAGGCAAGCTCTGGAATCCGACAACGTCGATTCCAGCGGGGTCTACGTGCTCCTCTCCAGGGTTTACGCCTCGGCGAACAGATGGAACGACGTGGGTTCGGTTCGTCGGCTGATGAGCAACGAGGGAGTGAAGAAGGAGCCCGGCTGCAGCTCGATCGAGACGGACGGCGCGGTGCATCAGTTCGTCGCCGGCGACACAAGCCATCCGCAATCGAACAGGATCTACGAGAAGCTAAATGAAGTGGAGCACAGGCTTGCGATGGTCGGCTACCAGCCGGACTCATCACAAGCACCTTTGGTGGCTGAACTCGACAGTGTGAAGTGGGACTCACTTCGCTTGCACAGCGAGCGGCTGGCCATCGCCTTCGGCCTGCTCGATGCGAAGCCCGGGGAGCCGATTCGGGTGCTGAAGAACTTGAGGGTCTGCAGAGATTGCCACACCATGATCAAGCTGATCTCGAGGGTGTACGATGTGGAGATCGTGGTGAGAGATAGGATCAGATTTCATGAGTTTAAAGATGGTTCTTGTTCTTGCCAGGATTACTGGTGAGATTTGGAGGAGGATATACCCTTGATGTAAATTTAGCGGACTGCATCTGAATTCGTGGACATTTCGTGGATAACAATACCGGCTTTTCATAAATAAAAAATATTATTCATATATAATTTAGGATGATTTTTTTTTAAAAAAATTAATTTTAAAAATTTCTTAAAAAATATCTTGATCGGATGAAAAAGATCATTTTATCTCTATCTACGTTAACCCACTATCGTCAATGCCTTAATGCCATTCATCGCCTCCACTATAACCTCTACACTTTCGTTGGATCCTTACAATTGTCTATCCTCCTCTTTTTCTCGTCAGATATATTGTCAATGATTCTCGTGCAAGAAAGGAGAGGGGCTATAAGGGTTACCGTTGTCTCTTTCCTTGCATGAGGACTACAAACGAGGTGTGCAAGAGTGTGAAAAGATAAATTTGATGAGATAGAGGAGAAGAAAGACGATTGGTAGGTTTAAGTGAGGAGGAGACATTCGCTATTCAAGTGCGGCTTCACTTATGCCACAATTGTTGGATGATTATTCGGGTGGAGAAACTATTGACGAGGTGGAGGTACGATTAGGGATCGAGCAACGGAGCGATAACCGATAATAATAGAATAATTATTTTAAAAAATTATTATATAAAAATTATTTTTTTTAAAGTTAGGTGCTATCTTAAAAATAATTAAAGTTAATTTTTTTTTTCGAGAATTCGTCTTATAATTAACTCAAAAATATTTTTGATCAATTTCACCTTTTGATAATTTTATTATGGCGTGGGATCCACGCAGAATGGGAGCCGGTTCTCGCTGCTGCCACGTCAGTACGACATTTTCCTGGTCATTCTTTTCGGCAGTTAAGGTCCGGAAGCCAACGCAATGGACCAAACTTGGAGCGCACGAAACAGACGTTTTCTCTATCCTTCGTCGGATCGAAATTAAACGGACGGATGCGTTCCATGGAGAACCGACCCACTGGAAACTGCCTGTTCTTTCTGGAATACCGTTCGCCCTATAATATGTATGTGGATATAATAACCGCCCATTCTTCTTCCATTCATTGAGAAAGTAGACATCCCAATCTTGTTCTTCCCCTGATCGACGATGCCTCGCCGAAGCTCTGGAGGTAACGCCCTTTGGTCCGCCAAGCAGGTCGTTGCCAATAAGTTCTCAGATTGTTGTCGCTGGTTTTGAAATCATCGAGAATGGGTGTTCTGGATGTCTATCCGATCAAGTAACTGGCTGTCATTGTGATCATTTTGTGTTATTCTGTTATTGATCTTGTCATGCAGAATGATCAACAGTTTTTAAAAAAAATGCGTTTAAACCATTTCCTCAAGGTTTGCGCTCGATTTTGCTTTTTATCGTTTTTTCTTTTGGATCACTGAGTTTTTGTTTCAAGGTACGAATTTTTGGATTTTCGTTCTGGCATCTTCTTCTTTTATGCCAATAGAAAAGATGTCTCAGTAATTGGAGTTAATAGTGTTGATTTTGGTTGCATACGACAAGCATGAAGAAGCATCGCTCGACAATTAGTGTTACTAGGATTTGTCTCATGGCTCGCACCATGTGATCGAAATCCAAGAGATTTAACTCTAGTTATGAAAGACTTGAGTAAGTTCTAATTGGAAGCATTGCCAATTTGATGTAGTATTTCTTGTGAAAATTTAAAATCTATGGCTTTGGCTTGTAACTTCTCTTTGTGAAACACATAATATGTTGTTAAATGCTTCTGTTATTTATACACGTCTTCATTGACACTTTTGTTGTTCCTTAGTTACATTGAGTTCTTCAATCTGCTTGAACATAATTACTACATCTAGCGTGTAAATTGTTGAATATAACATTCAGAAAGCCTATCAAACAAGTGCACATGAAAAAGGTTCGCCAAGCGTAACAGGGCCATCTGACAATTCTAATTGGCTTTAACAGTATTGTTCTTGAGTCACTATAGCTGACTACTCTGCTGATGATTTTGTATGATGTAGTTGCCGTAAGTGATAAGAATACTCGACTGAGTGGATTGTCATTGAGGTTTTTGCTTCTCAAAAGCAAAAACCTGCTTATTTTCTTGCTTGATGATTAATAATAGTAAGTCATCTGTATATAATGAATATTTTCTTGCTTGATATGCCTAAAAATAAAGATGAACTTGGATGTCTTTGTTGGATAAGCCTTGTGACTTTTGTCAAAGCAGATCATGTGGGAGATTGGATGCTTATATTGTGAATATTTTTCTTTATTCATTTTGGTGGAAATGCATCTGTTGGTCTAATGAGTTGTGAATTATTTGTGATGCATCTCTAGTTATTCAAAGTGTCTATGTTTTATGTTTAAATTTGTTCTCCAGTATTGACTTTCTCTGCTCAATTTTAGGACGCACTGCCCCTCGTCCAGTAAGGAACCTGCCGCAGCCAGGTACTTGATCTGTCTCTCTCCTCTCGAGATCTACCTAATGTTTTGAATATGTTCTTTACATATTTGTTGGATTTTATGCTTTTAGCTGTGAATGCAGCTGGATGATGGTAAAGTTGGATACATTAGTAGCAATGTGTTCACATCATCACCTTGTACGGCTACTAGTTTACATAGGTTACTACATACATATATGCCATCTTAGTGCATTCAGTCATATTTGGGAGCTCATCATATCCAAGTATCTGCTACTCATTTACAATCTCCTTAATGATCCTTGCTTGCTATTATAAACTAGAATGTGAAACCTTTTCTTACCAATGTTAAATTAAGTTCGAGCATTTTTTTTTTAATTGCACACACACACACACACACACTTTGTGGAGTTTTTTGTGGTGCACCTAAGTCTATTTGTTGCGTATCGCCAATAATGTTTTCTTTTGCTGCAGCTCGCTCTGCACCACCACCAGCACCTGTTCAAGGAGGATCAGCTCTTGGAGGAATTGGTGCCACTATAGCAGATGGTTAGTGGCATTTGGCATATCCCTTTCATCATTTTTTATGCATTTATGTTTAAGAAACATACTTTATTGCTTCTATAGACTTAGGTTCTAGTTCTTGTTCCTGTCTGTAGGCATTGCTTTTGGTACTGGAAGTGCTATTGCACACAGGGCAGTTGATTCTGTGCTTGGCCCTCGTACTATTCAACATGAGATGGTTGCCCCTCCAGCCCCAGCAGCTACTGCAGCTCCGTTGAGCAGTTCTATTGGCTCCGATGCTTGCAATACACATTCCAAAGCCTTCCAAGATGTAAGTGCATTAATCTCTTTCATGTTCGCTGAGGATACCAAGTTTGATATTATGAAATATGGCTTGACTTATTATGAGCCATGTCTCTAGTAGTTAAATTCAAATGTTTACTTTATGTAGGATAGTAATAGTAGAGCTGTTTATTGTCTGTTACACAGAGTGTCAAGGGTAAATCCCTTGTTCTAATTGATGGAATGTGCTGTGAAACAGTGCATCAACAACTTTGGGAGTGATATCAGCAAATGTCAGTTCTACTTGGATATGCTGAACGAGTGTCGCCGAGGCTCTGGTGGTGTTGTTGGCATCTGATATAGCAGAAACACCACTGCTTAGTGGGACAGGAGTCTTCATTGATTTTGATACTTTTGCTGTGGAACATTGTGTAATATTTACTTGGAATAAGGTGGTTCGTGACCGCTATTTAATTGCAAAGTTGGAAAAGGTTAGTGACTTTGTGTTGTTTTTAACAATTAATGTTTCCTGCTTTCGGTATTTGTTCTTTTTAAAATAATGTGCATACGTACCAGCAACATGGATTTCTGAATTTGTGGCGAGCCATCTATCTCTATTGGTCTATTTATTTTCATGTGTTTTGAGTCATCTATTAATCTGTGTTTGTTTTCCTTGTTTGTAAGATTCTGAACAATCTAGAGTGATGCAGAAGTAGTTTATGTAAACTATTTTTCCTCAATAATCTCTTTTATTTTCTTGCAGTCTCTTTCTCTTAGTTTTTATATTAAACCTCATAAACTGGTAATACATCACTAGGTGAATGCATTGGTCTTAGTAAAGAGCCCGACCTTTTGGCATGAGTTGTTTACTACGTATGTTTATGCTAATCAGCAGTTAACATGAATGAACTACAGTTTATTACCTACTCTTTGTTGCATATATAGTGACTACGGCATTTTGATCTCTGTTTTGTGGGTTGTAAAATGCATCGATGAATTTTTTAGTTGGATATGATAGAATACTTTTAATCAAAGTAAGAAGTTACACGAACAAAATTACATAGTTGGTGCCAAGCTGCTACTGCTATGCATCCCAACCATCTTTTCTGCTACCGAATCTCCATTTATTGGCAGCCAAATCTCCATATACCTCTGTGAACTTAGCAAGGCAGGCACTCCTCACCTCATAGTGTGCTTGTGTGTTCCTACTGATGGCTACTCCTGAGAACTTTGATGTGTCTACCGCCCACGAAGGCTTCACATACTCCACCGTCTTCCTCGACGAACTCACATTTGCATACAGGAAATTCATAAGCACATCCTCGCAGTTGAAGTACTCATCCACTATATTCCTTCCTATTTTCGCCTCTTGGCTCCAATACCTTCCGAATGCCAACCTATGATCCATAAATGCAGCTCCGGTTAGTATCATGTTGTACCCCCTTCGTCTCCGGGCATACTTCTCGTCCCGATACTTCAATGGCCTCCCTTCCGCGAGCCGCGGGTAGAATCCTACGATTCTCTCAGGGTGGTCTCGCCAGACCTTGAATCCACGCTCCACGTCGTCGCAGGGCATGATGATATCATCATCAAGCTCGAGAACTGCCGGTGTCTGTATCGATGGATCGACGTTGAATCTGTTGTTCAAAGAGTTCCTCTTCTCCACTCGGATTCTGACCGGCACGGTGGAGTCGAACTCGCTGACATTTGGCGACTGGCCTCGGTTCCACACCACCAGGATCTCGCGCACCGATGAGCATCTTGAGTAATGCTTCACGTACGTCTTCAAATTCCAGAGGCGAGCATCATATGTCATCGTCAGAAGTGTGAATTGAGAGTAGTGCCCTTTTAGCGAGTAAGCCTCCGCTGCACCATTGCCCCCGTAGACGTAATAGGTGCCGACACAAGTTAGTGTAACTACTGCCAGAAACAAGAGAGCTAGAACTGACCGGCCTATACAGGTGTTGGGTCTTATTCCTCCTGATCTGAAGTGAGATGTCATTTTGTTCAAATGGCTGAACAACCATCTAAGCTTAGAATAGAGTTGAAGATGGCGTTCTTGTGCTGCCCCAGTGAGACCGCTTCGCCTTGTTGACAACGGAAGACAGCGGCTCAAGCGCAGATTGCACTTGATTGCGCTCAGCAGCACCCCTGATAGCATAACCAGTGCAATAGCAGCTCCGAACGATGTGTAGCCTATAACAAGCCTGCGAACAGCATCGCCCGAAGGCACTCGATCGCCATCCATCACCGCGACCCACCGATCCGTCGTAAGCTGTTGCACGTCTAGGTGATGGTAGCGAGCTCCGTTCCAAGCGTTACGGCCTTTCTGGGGCTCGTCGATACCAAGTGGAACTTCGACTTCCTCGTACTCATCTTTGGTGAGAACCTTGACTTTGAATAGACGTACACGCCGCCCGTATGTATCACCGCAGTCTTGTCCCGGCCGATACAGCTCGCCGTCGTAGGTGAATGGCCGTCCTGCATTTCTAGCACCTAAGCTCTTGTCCATGTTGTGAACTGGATTCTGCTTGTGCGGTGACCAAGGACCCAAGGGAGAGCTGCTGTGCCAGATTTCGAGCTCTCCATTCTTTTTGGCACCAGGAGCACTGAAATCTGACCCGAAAAGCCAAAAATGACTTCGGTAATTGATGATGAATGAATCTACGAGGGGCTTCTGAAGAATGACCTTCTCCAATTGCCACCTTAGTGGAAATTCCACTGCCCGGTAGAGCCGGAGGTCCCCTTTCTTACTGCCTTCAGGCATCATGTAGATCTGCGGAGCCACGACATGTTACTAGGAAGATTAAGCATCAGGTCGAAGGATCAAATGGCTCTCTGCTTGTTTTAAGAGTCAAAGGCAGAGGACGATCTGACCTGATCCTGGTAGCTGAAAACATATGGATAAGAGAGGTGCCACTCCTCATCCAGGGCGATGCCCAAGTGGTGCCATGTCGCACCCTTGTCATTGCTGATAGCGACCCCAATGTCTCCTTGCAATGTGATAGGGTTCTTGGTTTCGAAGAACAAATATAATACATCACCCTGAACAGAAGTAACATAGCAGAAAGATGTGGTTTAACGATTAGACGATCTAATGTCCTCATGCATGTATGTTGGAAATGAATTCAGTCACTCAAGAACGAACATAATAGTTGTGTTAGAAGTGATAAGTATTTCCATACCTCAAGAAGAAGAGTAAGCTACTGCTAAATTGAACTCTCTCTATTGCTCAAACTCATACACTACACATGATAAGGTTATCCTGTTGGTCAACTTTCTCCCTAATTCACTGACCTGGATGAAGAGAAAGGGATCAGCGACGAAGTTGCTAGGGAAGCCAGCATCCGACGCCGAAGCGCAAGTGACCACCGGATTCGCCACCGGCCATGCCGCGGTGTCGTTGCTCCACACGTTCCACTGCACGATCCCGGCGGCCCCCCAAACACATCCCACAATCAAGAATCAGAAAAGTCAACCCAACGGAAGAGTCAAACCCAAAGGAGAGAGATGATGTAATTACGGATTCGATGGGTCTGAGGGAGAGGGGGGAGCGGCCGTAGAAGAGGCCGACGGACCAGGAGCCCTCGCCGTCGGGGCGGCAGCCGAGGTTGGATGGGGGGAGGGGTTTGGGGAAGGGGGAGAAGGCGAGCCAGGCGAAGAGAGCGGCGGTGGAGCCGAGGAGGAGGGCGGCGGAGACGACGAAGAGGAAGGTGTCGGAGCGCCACCTCCGCCCCGTACTCATCTCCTTCTTCTTGGTGGTTTTCTCCTTTCTACTCCCCGTCGCCGTTACCGGTAGTAGTGATAAGCCGGAGTCATTTGCTTCGAAGACTAGTTTCGTATAGCCAGCCGCATCATATGGAGTGGTGGTGGTGGTGGAGTCGTTGGAGTCGCCACCATCGGGAGAGTTGCTTCGTTTGACTTTTCTTCTCTTTACGTGTGATTTCTTCGCTGTACTTCGTGGACTCGGCGACCGCGATGGAAAAGAAGGAAGGCAGGAGGAAAATGAAATGTAAGAGGAAAAAAAAAAGGGCCCCACCACCGTGTTCTAGAACAGCATCAGAGGCCAGAAAATTCCGCCATCCCGAATCTCAAAGCTTCCGGTCAACCACACGGACGACGTTTTGAAGAGGGAATGAGTAGATATATTCTTCTAATACGGGATTAAATCAATAAAAAAATTGATTTTAAATTAGAGATGCTAAGAACGGCATCGTTGGATCAAAAGAAGACTCTGTTAGGGTTAATGAGAGAGGATCCTAATAGCACTTGGATTACTTTTGACTTCCCCATCAATTAAATGGTGGAGGGATCCGTATGCCAGCCACATATTATAGTTGGGGTACAAAGACATGTAGTAGGAAGCTCACATGAGATGTGATGCAGTCATTTTCTAAGCACAACAACGATCCGTAAATTTCGTAGAAATTGATAGAAATAATAGAAGATAAGAACAATAATTGAAGAAGCTTTATTAAAGAAGTGAAGTAGCTTGAATGCATTAGCATGTCCCTCTCCTATTTATAGGGATTAGGAGGGAGGATTTAATCCTCAACAGAATAGATAAGATTTCCTCATATAGTTAGGGAAATATTATCTTCTATGATGCCCCCGCATGATGGTGCTCCTGACAAGGATACCAATCTTGGATCAATGGAAAATATGGTTTACAGACGAGAGGTTTCATGAGTAAGACAAGAGCATATTGCTGCTGCTATTGTTGTTGCTATAGTTTCGACGACGATGGCTGCAGCTGCGATGGCAGCGGCTACGATTACGACGACGGCAACAGTTGCGGCTGTGACGGCGACGATTGTGGCTGCGACGGCTGCGATGATGGCAGAGGAGAAATCTACAATAATGTTACAGTGTTGCTACTACAACAAAGGAGGAAGCTGCAACATAGGAGGAAGGTGCAGCAGAGGAGGAAGCTGCAGCAGAGGAGGAAGCTGCAACAAAAGAGGTAGGAGGTAGCTACAGCACTAGAGACGCCGCAAATGAAGGGAATGGACGTTTGCACAAAGTGGCAGTGGAGAAAACAATTGCCGTTCGCCGAAGAGGAAAGATTTGTCGCACCGATGGGCTGACGATGAAAAAGCAATGGTAGAAACCTTTTTCTTTTGCCATCAGAGATAGAGAAGCAACAATGATAAGTCGGCAGCGAGAAGAGAGAAGGGAGCTTGCTTTAGGCAAGCAGCTCTGATACCATGATAGAAAGTAGCTTGAATGCATTAGCATGTCCCTCTCCTATTTATAGGGATTAGGAGGATTTTCCTCAATAGAATAGAGAATTTTCCTCAATAGAATAGATAAGATTTCCTCATATAGTTGGGGAAATCTTATCTTCTATCAGAAATCATAATTCCTACTACTCAAAAAATCATGCTACAATATTTTGAATGTCAAAATCATTATTAATAAAAGACAACTATCAAAATCTTTAATGCTTAACTAACATGTCGTTCTTAATTAGTTAATACTTAAGAGTAAAAACTATGAAACAGATAGTGTGACAATGATAGAAGACTAAGTCGATAAATTGTTATTCTATGTGATTTCATAATTTTATTTATATATAACCTTTCTTAACATTAATCATGACTTTCACCCATAATGATTACATAATTTTATAATTTTATTTATAATCGGATAGTTTATATAATCTTTCTTGACATCAACTATACATAATTTTATACCACTCGCTTAAATCCAGGAGTTGGTAATTGATATTTCAGAAAAAAATTACTTTTCAACAAAGAATAAGTGACGAAGGTGAAATTTGAGCCCAAATGTTTTGTAATTATTGGTTAAGGTTTTTATTAGTTAAATTAACTGATACTTTCGAAGAAAGCTTCCTAAATTATGTGATAATGTGATTACCTCCCAAACACTATAGGCTTACTGGGCCTACGTCCAGCCCATATTTTGTATCCTTTTGGGCTTTAACATGAGGACCTACTAAGGTCTCTTTTCATAATACCACCATATTACCCACTCAATGCTATATTTTCACATCAAATTAACCATATTTAAAAAAGAAAATAAATGCCAAAGGTTAAGAAAACAAGTATCAAGATTTACTGAAAATATAACAATTCACATAAATATCCAAGAGAAGTAATTCGATATAAGTATCCCTACAAAAGCATTATGCAGTATTTCCCAGTTTCACAGTCAGTATATTTTCCTAATAATAATCACTTCAATGTGTGTTGGGTTTTCTTTCTTTAGTGATCAGGAATTAAGATGTTGGAATTATGTGGAAGGCTATATATTTTTAGGTTCAAGTTTATTCAGTGCACTGAAAAGTTTGCACCAAATGGCATTGGAAAGAAACAAACAGTTTCATAAGTCGTCAATACAATTTTGATCGATTTATATAGTTCATCAAACCCGAATTTAAGTAAATCAAACCCGAATTCTTGACACATCTGCAGTCAAGTCAAAGTATACTAATTCATTCAAATCGAATGGCTATCTGTTCGATCGTGATAGGAACTGTGTGCGATCTTCTCTTGGGAAACATGTTTAAACTTGATCTTCTCATTTGATATTTTTATCTTCAGCTCTTTCTTGAGCATTAATTCTTCCTTGTTCATCGGAGGATTATAACTGGAGTGGTTGGATTTTGGCAGCGGTCTTCTTCTTGGGACAATCCTATTTGAAAAGCCTTTGCTCCACCTAGACACAATTTGTGGTGGCTTACTTATCTCGAACAACATGGCTTTTCAGGCTCGATATGTGCTGGCAAGGGTAATTTTGTGAGCGTCGGCAATACGATTGATAGTCATTTCTCCATAAATCTAAAGAATGAGAGTAAGATTGATAGGCTTTTTGGGGCGTGAACGTTTTACCATCGATGCCATCGAGGCAATCGGTATTTACTGCACTATCCCTAATTAAACACATGTACAGTGTCTTAGTTGTCCCGTATTAAACAAGAGATACTAAGAATACTTATAAAATATTTTCAAGTATATACTACTTTATTTAATGAACTATGATCCTATTTAAAGGATGTAGTGATAATTACCTTATCCCAGGCATCCAATATTGAATAAGATGTAGGAATTACCCTCATAACTTCTATATCATAAGCCACTAGGTAGAATATGGATACAACTTTCTAGAACATGACAACTACCTAGATAACTATCTATGTATCAATCATTTCTTAATACTTTTCCTTGATTCAGAGTTATATACATCGATTTGGGATATGAAATAAATATGATTATGAATTGGAAGTGACTTGGTGAGAATATCTATAACTTATTTATCTATGCCATAATATTTTATTGTTATGTCTCCACTTGCCACAAGATCACATATGAAATAATAACGTATCTCTATATGCTTTCTTTCATGAAATGCTAGATTATTCGTTATTACAATTGTGGTTTTATTGTCACAAATTACTTCTTTTTATTTTTGATGAAGATCTTTAAGAAATCTTTTAAGCCATATTGTTTAACAAGCTACTAATATTGTAGCTATATATTCTACTTCTGATGTCGATAATATAGTTATCGCTTGCTTTTTTGAACTCCAAGATATAGCTCCTGATTCGAGGCTAAAAATATTGCTTGAAGTATTCTTTCTATCATCCAAAGCTCTTATCCAATCACTATCAGTTAAACCAAATAATTTATATTTAAAATTATGCTAATATCAAATGTCATAATTTGTAGTTCTAGTAATATAACGTAAAATTCTTTTAACAGCTCCGAGATGATGTTTGTTTGGGTTATGCATAAACTTGGATACTACACCAACATATAAGGTAAAATTTGGTCGAGTATGATTTAGATAGATCAAACCTCTAACCAAACTTCTATAGTATCTTATATTTACCAAACGTGTAGTAGCTATAGCTTTGCAATTAATCATTTTGGATTTTTTTGAGTAGATTCATTGTATACTTTGTTTATGAAATAAAATTTTCATCTGATCCTTCACTTTGAACTCAATAAAGTAGTGTAGTAGATTTTGATATGACATTTCAAACTTATTTATGTATTTTTTAAATTCTACCACAAAAGAGTTAGATGAACCCATATATATAATATCATTAATATAAAGGCAAACCATAAGAATATTATATTCACCTTCCTTCTTTAGATAAAAAATAGGTTCATTATTACTTCTTTTAAATCTATTTTGATAAAAATAATAATCAATTTACTGTATCATGCTCTTGGAACTTGTTTAAGGTCGTAAAGAGTTTTCTTTAGCTTATATACCTTTTTTTCATGTCTTTTAACTAAAAAACCTTCAGGTTGAGTAATAAAAACTATTCTTATAAATCTTCATTTGAAAACATGAATTTCACATCAAATTGATAAACATGTTAAGTGAGCAACTAAAGTCAAGAAAGTTCTCATGATTTTGAATCTAGTAACTAGAGAAAAAGTATCATCAAAATCAATACCTTATTACTGTGAATATCCTTTTGCTACAAGCCAAATCTTATGTTATTGGATACTTTTCATCTGTATTATACTTTATTTTGAATACATATTTCAATCTAATAGTTTTTTTTACTTTCAGTAGATCCATTAGATCCCAAGTTTCATTCTTCTCAATTGACTTGATTTCCTCTTATATTGTCATTTGTCATTCATCTTTTACAACTACTTCGGATCTGAAATAAACAAAGAAAATATTGAATCATAAATTTCTATTAGTGATCTGAATTTTCCTAGAGGGTTTCATTTGAAGAATCATTTGATAAATTAGAATTGCTACTGGGTGAGACTGACGATGAACTTGTTGGAGTAGGATTTATCTCCTAATTCTGTGAAGTGTTTAGTTCTGTTGAAATCTAAATTTGTTTTTTACGTTAATTGGTCTTTCAATTCTAACTTACTCTTTCATCAAATATAACATTTCTATTAATAATAATCTTATAATTAATAGGATTATATAATCGATATGTTTTGGATTATAAGGAATAACTAATTAAGATGTATTTTTTAAAATTTTTTATTAAGCTTATGATGATTTTATAAATTTACCAAAGCATAAGCAATATAACCAAAAATTCTTAAATGACTTACACTTGCTTTATACCATACTAAGCCTTAAAATAAATTCGATTTATAATAGCTTTTATTGGTGAGATATTCAATAAATAAACTACCATTGTAACTACTTTTGTCCGATTTGGAAGATGCTTTTCTTTAAGAAAAATTCTTGTTATTTCAACGATAATTCAATTCTTATATTTAGTTATACTATTTTGCTCCGGCGTATATGGTGTTCTCAATTCTTTGTGTATGTATCTACCATTTTACCTTTCTACAAGTGCTTTAAATTTTTAAAAATTATCAAATATTTTATATTTTAATTCTTGAAAATATACCCAACTCATGCAGTTGTAATCATTTGTAAAAATATAAAATATCAACTTCCTCCAAATAATTTTATATTTATAGATCCACATAAGTCAGCTTAAAATAATTTCTTATTTTGTTTGTCATAAATACATCTTTCACATATATTAAGTGTGTTTATTTTGGATAATCTGAAAATTATTTTTTTTTATTTAACAACCTTAAACCCTTAATGTTAAGGTATCCATATCTTAAATGCCATGAATTAGACTCATTCTTTTGAGTTGTAATAAGAGTATGCTTTTCAATATTTAAAACATCAAGTGGAAACATCTTATTTTGTGTTATGTAAACATTTATCATAATTAAACCATATTTTTTTTAATCTTTAATAGTGCATAAACCATCATCAAATATAATTGAATATCAATTATTTATCAATTGTTCAATACTCAATAAGTTATGTTATAAACTAGGAACAAAGAAAATATTATCAAGGTATCTTACCTAACTTATCTTCATCTCAATTGTTCTTTTCTCTTTCATTTAGATTTGTTTGTTATATCTAAGTCTAACTTACAACTTTTGAGTTTCATCAATATCTCTAAACATTGATCTTATGCATGATATATATGATTAGAATATTCATTATTTAAAAATCAAATATCATTTGTGATATCATTAACTTATGAATAAGTCATATAAACCTACTACGTTCTTCATTTTCCTCTATATAGTTTTCTTGTATTTCTCTTTTTTAGTAATTTGCCTTCAAGTGACCAAACTTTTTATAATAGTAATATTAAATTTCACTCTTATAGTTTTTTTTATCATAATTTGATTGTTTTTTTCATCATGCCTATCAAAGTGTCCTTTTCATCTTCCTCTTGCATTTCCTCTACTACAAAATCCTCTTTTTTTGTCTCTTTTTTTAAAGTAGAAGACTCTTCCCTGAAATATTTTTCTTCACTTTTCTCAAGTGTCCTATTTAACCTTGCTTTATGTGCTTATAAGAAACTCATTAGTTTTTCAAATGAAAAACTAGATAAATTTTTTGACTCCTCAAGACAACAATAATATCAAATTTTAGAGTTAAACTTCTTAAAACTTTTACAATAATTATATGATCATAAAAATGTTCATCATAAAATTTTATTTGACTAGCAATTTCAGTCACTCACGAAAAAATACCTTATACCGATTCATTGCTTTTTTATGAATAAAATTTTAAACTCACGACAAAGGGTTTGGAGTTTTATTGTAATCACCCTCAATGAGCTTTGAAATTCATTTTGAAGTATTAACTAAGTTTGCTTTGAGGTTGTCGTTGTTGTAATTTTTGAGAAGATCGTCTCATGTATAGCTTCTTGAATGAAAAATAAAACCTTTGAGTCCTTTCTATTGTCCCTCAACCTAATTTCTTTATCTGAATATGCATATCCATTCTCTATTAATTCCAAAGATCTTGAGACTTAAATAGAGTCTTCATTTTGATACTTTAAAATTTATACTTTTTACCCGAAAAGATAAGAATAAAGAGTTGAGACATATAATTACCATTGAAAGACATAATACCCAGTTCAAATTTGAAATGCATGAGCGCGTAACTCTCGTTACCTAAGATATGCTATCTAATACTCCATTTTGATAGTTGCTTTTGCTAGGATTGATTTCTCTTTTAGAGTCCTCATATGTTTTTTTTCCAAAAAAAAATTAAACTTTAGTAATGATGGTAGAAATAAATGATATGGTTCACATTTATGTTAAGATTAATTCAAATAGTTAGGATTAGATAAAAATTTAGATTTAAATAGATAGATTAGGATGAAAATATTTATTGGGATATGATATATATTTTTCATTGTTTTAAAAAATTTATACTCTATCTTTTAGTTAAGTGATCTTGGATCAATCAAAAGCTCTGCAAATTGAATATAGTCCTAGTTTCCTCTGTTATTCTCTTCCCCTTCTCCCTGCAGTTCCAAAACAAAACCAACATTAAGTCAAGAGGTGAGGCTGCTTACGATTTAAAAATAGGATTCATATTTGGAAATTCTAGTATAAAAACAATTCTTTATCGATAAACGTTGTTGGTTCAAAATAATACTGCAGGTGTCGGTAATAAATAATCAAAGTTATTTGATTATTCTTGATAGATAATTTTCGTAATCACACCTCACATTCGTCATAATAATGGGCATGCCTTTGTCATGACAAGAACGAGATGAAGAAGTTAGAGGCTCTAAGCACTAAGCAGGCTGAAGCAGCTGTCCTTTCTGATCCCAAGGATGGAAACGAGGCGGCCGACCACCAAATCCGCGTTTCCTTATAATTGGAGGTTATCCACAAGCACAAGATGAAGATGGAGCTCGTCGTCTCAACCAAGGGAAGGAGATAGTGGGGCTGAACCACCCGGCCAATGTATTCAAGTTTATTATATTTACTAGCTAATGGAAGGAGATAGTGGTCCTCACTTCTCGTTGCTAGCAAACAATTAATTACACTTTATTCACGTAAGAACAAGGAAGGAAGAGCACGGAATATGCATGTTTCACGTTTCCGTGAGATTTTAGGACGGTGGTGGATGGGGGTGCAATTCTTCCCTGCTGTATCCATCTGCTCATACTTATCCAAACTAGAATGGTGGGCTATAAAAACCCTCATCCAATGCTCTTCCCAGCACCAAGTCCTGCAATAGCATCTTCTGCCAACAAAGGGAGTGTTTGCGTCCATTCATTCTCAGTTGCTGCTAATATGGTGAGTGGCGTTGTTAGTCTTCAAAATTCCATCCATTTTCTGACTTCTTCACCTACACTAGCTCGTATACTACAACAAGGATGGATGGATGACATGTGGTGTTTATTCTGATGCACGCAGGGGAGAATGGTGAAGGTGGGGCCATGGGGTGGCAACGGAGGGGATCTGTGGGATATGGGACATCCCGACCACATTACCAAACTTAAAATCTATTATGGAGATAACATTGTGGGGTTGGAAACTACCTACATTCTTAACGGTAATTCCCACACCGACAAACGTGGAACCACCAATGGCGCTTCCAAGGAGGTATATCTATACATCTATATATATATATATATATATATATATATATATATATATATATATATATATATATATATACACACACACACACACACACACACTTATCAACTTCGTGTCTTTGTCCAACCATATAAAGTGGTTCGACCAGATTAATGTTTTGAAGCAACACGTTAGTTAGTCAAACCAATTTCTCTTGAAAATATATTACACTATCAGATGTGTTTCAATTAGTTTTGTTTTTCCCATTGTTTGTTTCTCATCAAATCCATGATCCTTTTTGTAGATCATCCTCGAGGAGGACGAGTACTTCACTTCTATCTCCGGATATTTTCATGCATTATCCAATTATCAGGGACATGCAATTGTGATGTTGCTTACTCTTGATACTAACAAGGGTGCATCCATAAGTGTAGGCAACAAGATTGGCAGTTCATTCGCCCTTACTTTAGAGGAGGGGAGTAAGATTCTGGGCTTCTTTGGGCGAGCGGGTACAGCCATTGACGCTATTGGAATCCGCTGCTCATTGCCAAACTAAGTGTATGCACTGGCACTGGCTCGTGTTCCTATCTATCGAATGGTGTAATAAATAAGCAACGATAACAATTTATGGTGCTTGCCATGATTGTCATCATCGTTGTTATCCTTCTCAATCGGTGTTGCTTTGAATAAATAATGAAATGTTTTCGAATCCACTTTGATATCTTACGATTACTTGGCGTGCTTCTCATGATGGAATCCGTGGCTCCTATCTGGCAATAATTAGGAGAATTAGTAAGCTTCTCAATGAGTAATACAACGAAGAGATGAAGTGAACTACGTATTCCGTAAGATCTCTTGGCACATGACGATGGGAGGAAGCGAACCACGTATTCCTTAACCTTTCTCAGCATATGACGATGAAACGCTAGCAAAATAGTGTCGTTAGTAGTTTATCGATCATGATTCTTGGACCATTGCAAAACGTTGTTGCATTCTCCGAGGAACCATGTTGAGTTAAGCATCTGTACGATTCACTATCTAAATTCGAAATCGGAGGCCAACTCTGATGCCCCCTTTTTTTTTTTCTTCTTTTTTTCTCATATATAAACAGCATCGTTGTGACAAAATCTTAATTCAATCACTACCTACGTATCCTAACGTATTCCAAGATCAACTCCGTGATTTCACTCAAGAAATAAGTAATACAACATAAAATTAAGTAGATCAAGTAGATATGAGAATCCAAACCACCTGATCCATTGTTTTCTCTCTCTCTCTCTCTCTCTCTCTCTCTCTCTCTCTCTCTCTCTCTCTCTCTCATATATATCTCCATACCTTGTGGCAAATTTTGGTTGCTGATTAAACATTTTTATCAATTATACCTTGTAGTCAGTTAATTTCTTCTCAAAAATTTATATTTTATAAAAATATGATATAAAATTTAACCACAAATATCAACCATGCGTAACTTTTGGAACATTCAAAAGACAAAGCCCCTCCGTGAATCCCTATAGATTTGAGTTTATTTCTTCCCATCATCGTAGACGATACTTCTTCGGGACATGAATAGAACGATCATAATGTGTCCGAGTATGATGATGTTTCAAATGAACATGTTAAGAAAGAGTGGTTTATAAGATGAAGAATTTGTGTTCCTCTCGTGTACCACAAATGCTTTTCCCAACTCGCTATTGGCTACATAACAAATTAATCTTTATTTTTTAAAATAAATTATATATATCCTGAGATGTTCATTATGTTTTTATAGTTTGCACCTTTAATACCAGCTGCTTAAATTATTATATCACAAGTCTCAAAAAATTAGAAAATAAAAAATTGCTTGGTCGATATTTAATCGCCGCATTGTAAAGGACACCCACATGGTCGGCTTGGAAGATTTAAGTTTCGAAGTTGAATTCCTCTGCAAGCTGTACTGGGAAAAAGTAAAGTTGGTGGGATATGCATGCATATCTCATGTAATGCAAAATTAGTATATCCAACCATGTTACTGTATCCTACCTCGCACAACATAATCTGCTCATCTCGATCTGTGGGACGCGGAGTCTCAATTGTTTGCGGAAGTGCCATGTCCATATGCAAAACGGCAAGGAGAAGCCGAGGTTTGAGTCTCGAGATGCACAGCATGTGGAGGTTCCAAGTCGCCCTCTCAGCCAATCGAAAGAGATAAGGTTGTCTGTCCGATGCGACTGCTCTCTTCGCATGTTTCTGCATGTTTCACTTTTCATAGTAGACGACGTTATCTTTGCTACACAAGGTGTTTCACGTTTCATGCATGGGAGAAGGAAGGATCTCATTTTAGCTTTTGTTACAAAATGTCTTGATGTACTGCGGGAGAGAGGGTGCGTTAATGTGTGTATCCATCAGTTCTCGCGCACGAAACTCACGTTTGTTTGCTTACCTACGCGCGAGATCTGTTGGCAGGCATCGAAGCAAAAGGGCCACTGCCTCCTAATACTTATCCAAACTCAGGGCTGCAGGGCTATAAGTACCCCCACTCGTTGCTCTTCTTCTTCAAGCGCATCCATTTCCTGCAATACATACTAATATCTTCCGCGGAAGTAGTTCATACAAGTCGGATAATGGTGCGATGCTTGATTCCATTTCTTATCATCGTCATAGATTTTCTTGCGAGTTAATTTGGGGAGGCCATGCTTGCATGCTTGCCTGCCTGCCTGTATATATATCTTTTGTTGCTATAGATGGTATTAATATGGTGGTGGTGTTGTCGCGGTTGCAGGCGGGCGTGCTCGAGCAAGGCCCATGGGGTGGCAACGGCGGCAAGACCTGGGATATGGGACAGGCGGATCACATTAGCAATGTCAAAATTCATTACAACGATGCCGTATTCGCGTTTGACTTCACCTTCACCGTCGACGGCAAGAAGAAGACCATCCACGTCGGAGGCGATGCACCCCAGTACAAAGAGGTGCTGTCGAAGCTGAAAACATCCGTTTAGTATTTATAGATCAACGTTTACAATTAATTATTCCTAGGATACTAGCGAATTCCCTAACTATTTTTTGGTGGGTTATGTCTAACTACATCTTTGATTGCTTGTATAGATTACTCTAGAGGAGGACGAATACTTCACTTTCATCTCTGGATATTTCAAGACGATGTGGACGACAGACGTTTTCATAACACAACTTACCCTTGAGACCAACAAGGGCAATACAGTGAGTTCCGACACCAACAAAATTGGTAGTTATTTCTCCCTAAATCTAGAGGATGAGGGTAAGATTCTAGGCTTCTTCGGACGTGAAGGTTCTACCATCGATGCCATCGAGGCAATCGGAGTTTACTGCACTATCCCTAAATAAGTACATGTCATGCCTTGGTGCGTGTGCCTTAGTCCTCGCGGGATGCTGCAATGTATCTGCTTGGTTATGCTGATAAATAAGTGGCAGCAATTATTGTTGTCGTCCTTGTCGTATGTCTTTGAATAAAGCAAGAAATATGTTATGGGTCCACTGGTTATTGAATGCTAATTGACGATATAATGATAGTTGAACCCAATCTGTGGTTGGCATTCGTATATGTCACTTCACGTACATACGAACAATATGCTTGAAGATTTGATTGGGGTAATGCAACTCTTTTTTGTATAAAGTAAAAAAAAAAAATTCTAAGAAATTCCAGAACAAATTTATTCTCGGATACCCAATCGATGAGCCCAAAACATTCCATGGGTCACTCCCTTTTTTCAAAATGAGAAAGATTTTGTTACTCTAGAGTGATTGGCCAACCAAATGGCCACCTAGTTACGCTCCTCCTTGTATACATGTATAAACTCGTAGTCCTCAAAACTGTCTCACAAATATTAAATGTCAGTGACGTAGTGTCCATGGTACAATGAAGTTGTATTGCAGTTGTATGATGAATTCCAAATTTGATTCTATGACGATATGTCGAATGTCATTTCGTGAAGCTGCTTTCAAACCCTCCTGGATCGCCGTCGCGTGCTTCATAGGACATAATGTCTCTTTATTGTATTTACCAACCACCAATAAAGATAACATGACCAGCAAATCATGCAAAATATATCCTAAGCCACCATCTATTCCTTAAAACAACCATCCCAGTCTAGTTTGAACCATCCTTAATAAGGTTTTATCCTTTGAATTTATTTATCACTTATCTGGCCTATCGAGTTTATGAACCTTGTCATTAGTCAAAATGCATGCCATGATTTTATGGAAAAGAAAAGTAGGGGAACGTGTAGTGTGAGCATAAAGGATTTCATTTTGAGTTCTTTTGGAGCCACTACAAGCTAACGTAATTTGTGCTCAAATACGAACAAATGTAACTGGCGACGACGGGATTTGATTCAGTATCTTACTTACTATAAAGCGTCAAAATATTTATTTGCTTCATCATCATCCAACCTGTGCAAAATATGTCAGGTTTGATATGCATGAGCACGTAACTCTCTGTATCTCTACATATGTCATCTATAACTTCATTTCAAAACTTGCTTCTGGTAGGATTGATTTTTCTTTAGAGGCCTAATATGATTTTTTTTTTTTTAAATGAACTTTAATAATGATGATTATCGTTCACATTTGAGCGAACCCAAATATTAAGTCAGGAGGTTACTATTTAATAATAGGATCCATGTTCCTTTGATAACTGAAAATTCTAGTATAAAAAATGATTAGCATTTTTTGTTCAAAACAATATTACAGGTGTCAATAATAAATAATCAAAGTTATTTGATTATTCTTGATAGATAGTTTTCTTGATCACACCTCGCATTGTTGATTACCCGACAAGTACGAGATGAAGAAGTTAGAGGCTCTAAGCACTTAAGCAGGCAGGACGTGGAAAACGGAGCTCCTCCTTTCTCATCGGAACGAAGGAGACGAGGCGGCCGACTACCAAATCCATGTTTCCTTATAATTGGAGGTTATCCACAAGGACAAGATGTAGATGGAGCTCGTCGTCTCAGCCAAGGGAAGGAGACAGTGGTCCTCACATCTCGTTGCTAGCAAACAATTAATGACACTTTATTCATGTAAGAACAAAGAAGGAAGAGCACGGAATATGCATGTTTCACGTTTCCGTTAGATTCTAGGACGGTGGTGGTTGTGGGTGCAATTCTTCCTCGTATCCATCAGCTCATACTTATCCAAACTAGAATGGTGGGTTATAAAATATTATGTTATAGCAAAATAATTCTTTTCTCATCAAAATATCAACTTATTACCAAAATATAATTTTCTCTCTCATCTTTCTTTTATTCTTTTCTGTGCGTTGCCACGCTGCACACCTCCCCTTCTTTGCCCTCAACCATGTGCCTCTTTTTTTTCTTTTTAATTGTTGATTTTGGCTCAAAGACTCAATTGATCAAACTCATATGGGTTGGACCCAATAATTCTCCCCCTTCATCTCATATAGTGGGTTGTACTAAGCCCGCTCTTTACTTACGTGCTTCAAGCTTTTCTTTAGACAAAGATTTTGTCAACATATTTAATCCATTCTCATTGGTATGCATCTTTTCCAATTGTAATTCTTTCATCTCAAGCACATCACGAATTCAATGATATCTTACATCAATATGTTTAGATCTAGAATAATGTGTTGAATTCTTGAAGAGATGAATGATACTCTGACTGTCACAGTAAACAGTATATCCTTTTTGTTTCAAGTCCAATTCTTATAGAAATTTTTTCATCCATAAAACTTATTTTGATGCACGCTGGGAACAATGATGAAGGTGGGGCCAAGCCATGGGGTGGCAACGGAGGGAATGTGTGGGATATGGGACATCCCGACTACATTATCAAACTTAAAATCTATTATGGAGATAACATTGTGGGTTTGGAAACTACCTAGATTCTTAACGGTAACACCCACACCGACAAACGTGGAACCACCATCGGCGCTTTCAAGGAGGTATATCTGCACATCTATGTATATATATATATATACACACACTTATCAACTTTGTGTCTTTGTCCGACCATATAAAGTGATTCAACAAGAGCAATGTTTTCAAGCAACACGTTTGTTAGTCAAACCAATTTCTCTTGAAAATATATTGCAATATCAGATGTGTTTCAATAAGTTTTCTTTTTCCCATTGTTTGTTCCTGAACAAATCATTGATCCTTTTTGTAGATCATCCTTGAAGAGGACGAGTACTTCACTTCTATCTCCGGATATTTTCATGCATTATCCAATTATCAGGGACATGCAATTGTGATGTTGCTTACTCTTGAGACTAACAAGGGTGCATCCATAAATGTAGGCAACAAGATTGGCAGTTCTTTTGCCCTTACCTTAGAGGATTGGGGTAGGATTCTGGGCTTCTTTGGGCGAGCTGGTACAGCCATTGACGCTATTGGAATTCACTGCTCATTGCCAAACTAAGTGTATGCACTGGCACTGGCTCGTGTTCCTATCTATCGAATGGTGTAATAAATAAGCAACGATAACAATTTATGGTGCTTGCCATGATTGCCATCATCGTTGTCATCCTTCTCAATCGGTGTTGCTTTGAATAAATAATGAAATGTTTTCGAATCCACTTTGATATCTTACGATTACTTGGCGTGCTTTTCATAATGGGATCTGTGGCTCTTATCTGGCAATAATTAGGAGAATTAGTAAGCTACTAGATGAGTAATACAACAAAGAGATGAAGTGAACTACGTATTCCATAAGATCTCTTGGCACATGATGATGGGAGAAAGCAAACCACGTATTCCTTAACCTTTCTCAACATATGACGATGAAATGCTAGCAAAATAGCGTCTTTAGTTTTTGATCGATCATGATTCTTGGACCATTGCAAAACGTTGTTGCATTCTGTTGGGTCCAGCCTATGTGGGTTTGGACAATTTGGGTCATGAGCCTAAATCATTAATTAAAAGACAAAAGAGATATAGGACAGTGAATGAGAAAGAGAGAGATAGACAGCAGCGAGGAGCGAGCGAACGCGTGCTGCAGCGGCGGCACGCAGAGAGAGAAAAACGAGAGAGCGAATGCGTGCAGAAGCGAGGCCACGCAGAGAGAGAGAAAGATTAGGATTTTTGGTTTTCTGCTTGACGATCAGTAGCCAAATGTTGTGTTTGGGCCCAAATTTTGATGCAAAGAATCCTTGCAGCAAGCTCTACAATCCTAACGGTGTTGATCTACAGTTTACCCTCTCTAAGGTACTTTCCTGCTATATCCATTTTATGAGACCTATAATTCTCTTTTGATGAGATCAATCCTATGTGACGATGATATGCTATTCTTGAGCCAAGATCTATATTCTTGATGTTATTATGATCCTCTAGTTATTCTAGAAGAAGATTTACTGTAAACCTATTATCATTACTATTGATAGTGGAAGTTTAAGGTGGACTACGGTCCCGTGATTTTTCCCACATTTGGTTTTCCACGTTAATTATTTGGTCTCATTGTATGATTGATTTATTGCTATATTGTTTATGCTGTGCTGGTTGATATTTATATTTTGATATTAAGTTTATATTTTGATGAGGAACCCATTTTGATACACAAAGAGGGAAAAGAATTATTTCGCTTTAACAGGTTTTTCCCAACAAGTGATATCAGAGCAACAGGTTATTTGGTGCTAGTTTTTCTTATGTGATTGAAATGGAATAGTCATATGGTATGATTAAATTGAACTCATCAAATTATTCCACTTGGAGACATATGATTGAAGATTTACTTTATTGCAAAGATTTGTATAAGCCCATCAAGGTTAAAGATAAACCTTCTACTATGAATGATGATGAATAAGAAGTTCAACATAGAAAAGTTATTGCATATATTAGAAGATGGATGGATATAAACTTGCATGAGAATATTTTTGATGAAACCAGAGCTGATGTTGTTTGGCAAAGGTTAGAAAATCTCTTTGCGAAAAAGACAATGGAAAATAGAATTTCTCTCCTCAAAAGACTTGTAAATTTGAAGTATAAAGATGATGGTAATATTGTTGAGCACATAAGTCTATTTCAGAGTCTTGTAAACAAGCTTGTTGCTATGAAAATGAATATAGATGATGAGATGTAAAGATTACTACTTCTCAGCTCTTTACCAGAAAGTTGGGAAACGTTTGTGTTGACAATTTGTAACTCCACGCCAGAGGGGACTCTAACTATAGATATGGTTAAAGATAGTTTGCTAAATGAAGATGCCAGAAGGAAAACAGGATAAATCTTCTTCTGGTGCATTTGTTACTGAAAAACAAGAAAGACGTGGAAGAAGTCATAGCAGAAATCCACATGGTTATAGAGGAAGATCCAAGTCTAGAAAATACATCAAATATTTTCATTGTAACATGCCAGGTCACATGAAGAAAGAGTGTAGGTTTCGGAAGCCAAAACAGAATGAATGGAAGAAAAATGAGAAAGAGACCAATACAGTTGCTACTGAAGATAATATCACTATTGTTTGTGATGACGGTTATGTCAGTCTTGTAGCTCAGGTAAGTAACTAGGTAATTGATTCTAGTGCTTCATTTCATGTTACTTTTCATGGTGATTTTTTCAGATTCAGAACTTACACTGCTGGTGATTTTGGTAATGTCAGAATGGGAAACAGTGGTATATTTAAGATTGTGGGTATTGGAGATATTTGCTTGGAGACCAGTATTGAGAGCAAATTGATACTCAAAGATATAAGGCATGTTCCAGATATTTGTCTTAACTTGATATCTACAGACAAACTTGATGATGAGGGCTTTGCACATTATTTTGGTGAAAGCAAATGGAAACTCACTAAAGGTTCTCTAATTATGGCAAGAGGAAAGAAGCTTAACTCTTTTTATGTCATGGAAGCTGAGCTAAACAAAGGAGAGATTAATGCAATTCAAAAAGGTGAAAGTATAGATCTTTGGCACAAGAGGCTTGGTCATATCAGCGAGAAATGACTTCAAACTCTTGCTAGAAAGCAGTTTTTACTAGAGTTGCAAGGTACATCTCTTAAATCTTGTGATCATTGCTTAGTTGAAAAAACACATAGAGTTGCCTTTCATACATATCCATCATCTAGAAAATTAGATGTTATTGATTTGTTTCATACTAATGTCTGTACTATGCAAACTAGAACTCTTGGAGGTGCTCTTTATTTTGTTACTTTTATTGATGACCATTCTAAAAAAGTGTGAGCTTTTGCTTTGAAATCTAAAGATCAGATACTCGATGTTTTCAAGGAGTTTCATGTCAGTGTTGAAAAAGAAACTAACAACAAGTTAAAATGTGTTCGATCAGATAATGGTGGCGAGTACAGGGGTCCTTTTGAGAATTATTGTAGGTTTCATGATATCAGGCTTGAAAAAACAGTTTCAAAAACTCTTCAGCAGAACGGTGTGGCAGAAAGGATGAACAGAACCATTGAAGAAAGGATTAGGTGTATGCTTTCCCATGCCAAATTACCGAAGTCATTTTGGGGGGAGGCTACGAGAACTACAATTGACCTGATAAATCTTTCTCCATCAGTTCATCTGAAAGGTGATGTTCCAAAGAAAGTATAGAAAGGAAAATATATATCTTATAATCATTTGAGAGTCTTTGGGTGTAAAGCATTTGTTCATATTCTCAAAGATCTTGAGACTTGAATAGAGTCTTCATCTTGATACTTCAAAATTTATAGTGTTTGTCCAAAAAGATGAGAATAAAGAGTTAGAGACATAGAATTACCATTGAAAGTCATAATGCCTAGTTCAGATTGAAACATAACTTTAAGACCATGAATGTTAGGGATGGAGGAGCAAGGATGATAAAAATAGAATACTACGATGTAATTAAAAGAGAATGCTTTTCATCAAGGAAATCGAAATAGTATTAAGTAAGAGGTAAGACGAAGAACACTTAAAAGATATTCGTAAGTGCATATTACCTTCATGAACTATGGTCATATTTATATGACCTAGTAGCAACTACCTCACCCTATCATGTCACCCATGATTGAGTTAGGTGTACAAACTACCCCTATAATTTTTAGATCATAGGCCATTAGGTAGAACATGACTATAACTATCTAAAACATAACAACTATCTAAATAACTTTCTATAAATTATTTCTCAACATCGGGATGCTGCAATGTAATTGCTCGGTTGTTGTGATAAATAAGTGCTAGCAATTGTTGTTGTCATCCTTGTTGTGATTCTTTGAATAAACCAAGAAATATGCTATGGGTCCATTGGTTATTGAATGCTAATTGACGATATAATGATACTTGAATCTAATCGGTACTTGCATACCTTGTATTCGTGTGTCACTTCACATACATACCAATAATATATCATCATGATAATCGTTCTTGTGATATACTTGATGATTTGATTGGGGTAATGAAAATTTTTTTGTCCAAAGTAAAAAAAGATCGATTTCGTATAGTATAATTTATTCTTGAACATCTAACCTATAAATGAAAAACATTCCATGGGTCACTCCCTTCTTTCAAAATGTGAAAGATTTCGTTACTTTAAAGTGATTGGCCAACCAAATGGACACCATGGTTGTACTCCTCATATACATGAATAAACCTGTAGTCCTCAAAATTGTGCTATGGGTCCATGGTACAATGAAGTTGCATCGAAGTGGTATAATGAATTCAAAGTTCGATTTTATGATGTATGTCGAATGTCATTTCGTGAAGCCGCTTTCAAACCATCTCAGATTGCTGTCGCACTTCATAGAACATGTCTTTCTATTGTATTTATCTGCCACCAATAAAGGTAACACGGTGAGTAAATCATGCAAAACATATTCTAAACCACCATCTATTCCAATAAAGGAACCATCACAGTTAAGTTTGAACCATTCTTAATAAGGTTTTGTCCATTGAATTTATATATAACTTATCTGTTGAACAGACCTATCAAGTTTTTGAACCTTGTCATTAGCCAAAATGCATGCCATAATTTTACGAAAAAGAAAAGTAGGGGAACGAGTAGTGTGAGCATAGATGATCTCATTTTGAGCTCTCAAGAGTCACTACAAGCTATTGTAACTCATGTTCATGTTCGAACCCAGAACTCTTGCGCGAACACTTTCTCATTCATAGGGTCATTGTCACAATATTTTTTTTTCTTTTTCTAAATAAATGTAAGTGGCAACGATGAGATTTGATTCGGTATATTTGCCATAAAGAGTCAAAATATTTACTAGGTTCGTCATCTAACATCTTCAAAATAGTCAAAATTTTTTATTATTCTTGATAGATTTTTCGTAATCACACCTCATATTCTTGATAGGGAGTGCAATTCTTACTTGCTGTAACCATCAGTTGCTGCTAATATGGTGAGTGGCGTTGTTAGTCTTCAAAATTCCATCCCTTTTCTCACTTCTTCAACTACACTTGCTCGTATACTACAACATAGATGGATGGATGACATGTGGTGTTTATTCTG